AAGTGAAGGGTGGGCTCTCCTGAAACAAGATGTCATAGTCCCTCTATGTACTGCATTGGTCAGGCTGCACCTGGAGTATTGTGTGCAGTTTTGGAGGCCTCACTTCAAAATGGATGAGGACAGAATGCAGCAGGTGCAGAGGAGATGACCAGGGGCCTGGAGACCAAGCCCTATGGGTTTAAATTAAGAGTGGGAAGGTACCGGCTGGATATTAAGAAAAACTTTTTTACAGTAAGAGTTGTGCAACACTGGAATCAGCTACCTAGGGAGGTGGTGAGCTCCCCTTCACTGGCAGTCTTCAAGCAGTGGCTGGACAAACACTTGTCAGGGATGCTGTAGGCTGATCCTGCATTGAACAGGGGGTTGGACTAGATGGCCTGTATGGCCCCTTCCAACTCTGTGATTCTATGATTCTATGACAGCCATTTTATTTTTCATCATACACAATAGAAATGAAAGCTAGGAACAAAGATAGTGGCAGATCACTGCTGGGCCACAAATAATGTTCATATTCATGACATTTTCAATTGGGGGTGAATCTAAGGGGAGAATACAGATTAGATATTGTTTTGCCGTCAGGTCACAGCTGATATATGGTGACCCCATAGTTTTCAATGCAAGATACACTAACAGGTGGTTTGCCATTGCCTGCCTCCATGTCATGATATTCCTTTGAGGTTTGCCATCCAAATACCAGCATGGACCAGCCCTGTTTAGCTTCTGAGATCTAATGAGATGGGGCTATGCTGGGCTATCCAGGTTGGGGAAAATAGAAAGTCAGAAATATTAATCTTCACATAATATTATTACTCATACAGATTAGTTTCATTTCACTGGCTTTTGGTTGCATAAGTGTTTTGGGAACACCATCTTTTAGCACTGAGATTCTCATCATCCTGTGTACATAGAGAACACACAGTGTAACTCTGGTAATGATCTAACAGCTAGAATTTTTGTTTCTTCCCTTTCTTACAAATTCTAGTGATTTTTGTTCAAAGCACATAAAATATGTAAAAGGCTCATATAATGAGTCTTAGAGGTTAACGCTTTGGTTTTGTTCATTACTTATTTATAAACATACCTGAAACAAAGCATCTTCAGTCCACATATAATGCTCAACCTACATATAACAGTTTTACTGGGACTATGATAAGAACTCTGTTACTTCTTTAAATGTGGTGCTTCTCAACTATGCTTCTTTAGCTTCAGCTGCAATTGCCCATGAATTCCCCCAATACCCTCCCATTAATGAAGTAATAATATTTGTTTTTGACAGAGAAACTTCACCATGATATATATTCTAAACCTGGTAACATCAACAGTTAACTGTGTACTGAAAAGCAGTGGGGAAAGAGGCAAAGTACATACATATTCAGTGTAGGATCGTGGATTCTAAACATTTTTGGATGAGTAGCTACGTTAGTCTGTAATAGCAGAATAAAATTAAAGTTCATTAGTACCTTAGAGACCAACAAAATTTTCCAAGGTACAATGTTTAGGGAATTAATAGAGTTCCTATCATAGTCCCAGTGAAACCATGTTATATGTAGCATTATATGTATCAGACCAAGTGAGCATTGACTCACAAAATCCTATACCCTGGAAAATTTTGTTGGTCTCTAGGTACTACTTGACTCAGATTTTGTTCTGAAGAGTCACTCAGATATAAGGCCTGTATTTCAAACAATCACAGAAGATAGGAATGTTGTGTAAGTAGATTTTGATATTTTACACGTTAAAATCCAGTTTCAAAGTGCACTGAAAGTGGATTGAAAGTGCGTTAATTAGCATGTGTGAAGGCACCCCAAGTGAGGTTGCACTCGAGTTCAACCTTCTTTTTATTCCGGGTTTTTCTCTCATTCTGCATTACCTTACCTCCCTTCAGCGGTCAGCCCAGTTTCAGCCTGCTGTTGCCCCAGGTTATTTGGATGCTGTTTTGCTGTAGATTTAAATTGCCTTGACTCTAACACTGAGAAAATCCGGAGTGGCAGGCAAATGCGAAAAGGACGTATGTCACCCTTGTCTACACATTTTGTATTCCAATAGGATTTAAAGGCTATATCTGCACTGGTATTTTTGGCCACAGATCGTATACTTATCCTGTATGATTTGGCTGCATAGTGGTTCGAAGGCACAGGTGCAGGTTACATTCCATGAACATTAGGCTAAACTGTACTGTATGTCCATTTAATTTTATATCCTTGGTTTTGATTTTGAAGATGTACCTTGCAACTTTCTGACTTAGCAGGAATACAAAGTGAACAAAACTACATTCAAACATCAAACCTCAGTTAACTGATCAAACTTGTTGATTGGCACCAAACCAGGATTTCAAACTAGGGTTTGTAGCTGATTTGTTAAACAGAGTTTGTGGCTTGTTTTGACATCTAAATTCACAAACCACAGTTTGTTGAGTAGCATTGCCTCTTCTGGCCACCTGTCTACAGAGAAAGCATTATAGAAAAGATTGCTAGGAGGTGGGAAATAGGGATGTGCAGGGGGGAAAATTTGATATTTTTTGGATTTGGTTATAATGAACTCGAATCTTTTTGGTATTCCTGAATATAACTGAATACAAATACTGGTATTGTATTGGTACCCAAAAATATTCGGTATTCCCAAAAATATTTGGATCCATCATATGCTATGGGGCCATTGTAGTCAAGGGTATTCAGTGGACTGGGGAGAGGGAGTTTGAGATAGAGGCACTAAATTTGTACTGTAGCTGGTGGAGCCTCTCTCCAAAAGAACCCCTAAATCTCAAAACATTGGACCAGGGGGTCCAATTTTAGGGGCATCCAAAGAGGGTGCCCCCAATCCTCCATTGTTTCCTATGGAAGGGGAAAAAGGCAGGCAGATAAAACCAACAGACTAGCAGTTTCTCCCAGAGAATCTCTGCAGTAGAAACTAAGTGAGGTGTGGTGAGGTGTGGTGGTGTGAGGGGGCAAGTTTGCAAGGCCAGCAGCAGAACCAGTGCTATGTGCCCACCAGAATCAGTGCCACTGTGGCAGTGCCAAAACCCAACAGGACTAAGATCAAATCTGAGAATCTCTGAAGTATAAACTGAGGGGGCATCTTTGCAAGGCCAGCAGCAGAACCAGTGCAGTGTTCTAGTGCTAGTGCCCAGCAGCAGAACCCAATGCCATCCTACTTACCAACAGAAGGCAGTGCCAACCTACTAGCTGAACCCGGATCACCGTTGTCCTTTAGATGCTTGCAGATAGATCCCTTTAAAATCTGCTCCAATATCTTTCCTGAGACAGAGGTCAGGCTGACTGGCCTGTAGTTTTCTGGGTCATCCCTCCTCCCTTTTTTGAAAATTGGGATAACATCTGCCCTTCTCCAGTTTTGTGGCACATTTTTCATCCTCCAAGAGGTCTGGAAGATGATAGCCAAGGCTCTGCAAGCTCTCTAGAAAGTTCTTTGAGCACTCTTGGGTGCATACCATATGGCTGGGGGGATTTGCACTCAATCAATGCAGCTATTCAACTACCTCTATGTCCATGTCAACCAGCAGCCCAGACGCTGTGCCCTGACTACTTTCATCTCTAGATGTGCCTGTTATCATTAGGGGGAAAACTGAGAAAAAACAGGCATTAAATCTTCCTGCTTTCTCTCTGTCCTCTTTCAGAGTTTATCCATTTTCACCCAACAGTGGGCCCATTGCCTCTTTTATCTTGCATTTGCTCCTCACATACCTGAAGAAAATTTTCTTGTTGTAGTGAGCCTCCCTGGCCAGCTTTAGCTCACTGTGAGCTTTGGCCTCTCTGATGGTTGACCTACAGTGCCTAGCAACCCACAGATACCCTTCTTTAGAGGTATGTCCTCACCTCTATTTCTTGAACATTTCCTTTTTCTCCCTTAGCACATATATAAACAAACATGGCAACACACAATAGTGTTTGATATTTTCCTAACTTCCACTGTAATCCTTCAGTGTCTGCCTTGATATTAAGACTCAGAAAACATATACGGGCAGATTATTCCATGTGTGCATTAGGATAATTTTTGTCAGTGAAACAAGAATTCAAAGTGATTGGCTAAAGTTTTAAAATGGTACATTTAATTCTTATTTTTTAAATCATGTATGTAAATGGAAGGAAAAGAGGTGGAGGAAGTGCAGTTTTCACACTAAAAAGGACAATAAAATAAACAATCAATACAAATAAAAGGACCATAAAATAAACAAAATAAAACCCAATTTGCCTTCTCTCTAGGAGTTGCTTTTAAAAAAAATAGGAGTTTGGATGGAGTATAAGCACTGTGTCAGCTCATCAGGAAACAAGCAATCCCATCTAGGGCTGGGCACCTAAAAAAGGGGGTTGGAGCAGTGCTGAAACCAAACCCTGAAACAAATGGGTCCCACCTGAATGGAACCAGTCCAGCAAGTTCAGTTCCCCCTTTCTGACTGCCATTGTGAGATATGGCCAGGAGAAAGGTGGCAGAGATTGCCTGGGAAGTGGCTTCATTTAACCCTCTGGTTCGCTCCCCCTTCAAAGTGTCTGGGAAACATTTAAACCCTGTGCCACTCGGCTGTTAAGTTTAAATGACTGGCAGTCATTTAACACTTTGGTTTTGCTCCTCACCACTTCAAAGACCCTGAACAGCCAAAATTCCAAAAATGGGTGGGTCACTCCCAGAACAGCTGAGATGAGAGTACCCATTCTAAAACAGGAGATTACTGACTTGGGATAGAATTGAATTAGTTTTCCTCCACTGCTTTCAAGTCTGCTTCATAAACTTCCATAATGGGCAGACCGGACCTTGGTGATTAAAATTATTAAAATCATTACTATGCATCATCAGAGGAGAAGAAGCAAAGCTTTCTGAAGAGATAATAAATCTTCCTAGTAGAGTTAGTGGATCATGGAACAGCTAACATGTCATTGTTTAGTAAAGAATGTTAGCATGCCTCCCATCTCCTTTCATGAAAATTATACATTTCTGTGCATCATTCTCTCTTCAGCAAATGACACAATGTCAGAAGCCAATCAACTTACCTGAGAACATCATCATATGCTGAAAATTCCTGGGAATCTTTTGTTTTCGGCCCAAGTTGAGAATGAAGGAAAGTGGGTATATGTTGCAAGCTCTTGCTATGAAAACTGCCACCTATGTCATTTAAGTAAAGAAACTGAGGAAAATAAGGGAGGAACCAACAGCCAATAATGTGTCTAACACGTTCTAAAATAAAAAGGAGTTGCCATCTGACTATGGATTAGAAACAAAATTAGTACTTATATATTATATTTTAATACAGAATATTTATATATAGTTGACTTAAACCTTCCCCACAATAAAGTCTCCTTCAACCTAATTTTGAAATCCCCACCACCACACCACACTACACCACACCACTGCAACCTTTCTGGATTCATGTTCCATCTTTATAATCTCTGAGATGACAGCTCCCTCAATCTTTCTGCAAACCCTTCACTATAAATTGTTCCAATGCCAACAGTATTATTTCCTCAAACAGTAGTTTCAGAAAGGATAAATGTACTTCAGAACATGATTACTGTCTCATTTCTGCACAATGTGTATTGTCTCTGTCTAATATTCTCCACTTCAGTTTCTTTCTTCCCCCTTTTCGATTATTTCTGTAGGGCTCAGAAAATGGTGTTGGTTTTTTCATTATCCCTCTGTGCATCTAATGCCAAAGTTGTGTTAATAGCCATTTTAGATAAAAAATAAAGACATTTCAGACAAAAGGGGGGCGGATTACAGTTCTTAACTGTATACAGATATCCTGCTGGTAACATCTTTCCTCCAAGACCTTATCCCATCTACCAGAGACCTACTTTATCCTCTAAAAGCTTGAGCCATGCTGTGTATGCGAGGAGAGGAGGACAACCTGTGAGGCAACTTTCAGATGTATTATCTCTTGTGAAGACTTAAGGAGCATATAGACAAAAGCCAGTAGTCACACCTCCTCATCATGTTTCCAACTTATGTCTATCTTGTATTCCCTAACAGTTGTTTGAGGACAATTTGGCTCTACAACCATAGGAAGGCGATTCCTGGACCAGAAGTTTATATCTGAGAACCACATGGCATATGATTGCACTTTTAGAGGCCTCATTTGTACTTTTTACTGTGTGTCTGGTGGTTTTATCTTAAAACAACTTGCTTCTGGTCCTTATTGAATTTATACTTTGTATTTACATGATTGTACGATCTATATATCTAATTCCCAACTGTGCCCCCTGCATGCGGATATCTAAATCCGCACATCGGGGGCACCTGGAAGGCAGGGAGATTTTCCTGTACAATTTCCAGATGTGCAGATGTGCAGAAAAATCTAAAAACTGTAAAAAACTATAGGGGGGATACTTAAATCTCCCCAAAAGTAAAGCAGGCGCAGGGAATTCTCTGAGAACAGCTTTGCTGCTGCTGCCACCAGGGAGGGGGGGTGGGGCGGGAGAAAGCTTGTTCGGCCGGCGGCTGTAAGCCGCTCAGCCCTCGCCACCACCCAGGGGGGAGGGAGAAAGTTTGGTGGGCCAAGCTCAGGCCTCGCCACTGCCGCTGCTGCGGGGGAGGCTTGGAGGGGTGCGGGCCTCGCCGTGGGTGCCGGGGATGGGGGGCAGGGGAGAAGGCTCACCTGCAGCTGCTTCCTTCTCCTCTTGTGGAGCTTCTCCCTCCTCACGAGTATCGCGGGTCCCCCTTCTTGAATTTTTATAATAGCCAATATGTTCCTTACTATTGACCTCTGAGGAAGGCCTATGTAGGCCGAAACGCCTATTTCCTTCATTGAGTTTTTAATATTGGCCCTCTTTCTTGAATTTGACTAACCTTTGTCAGGTTCTGGTGTCAAGTTGGAGCCAGGTGTCAACTCCTGACAATAATTATACCTAATAAAGGTTTGCTCTGTAGACTGAGGCCTGGTGGGTTTGAAACAGTACTTCAGGGGATCTGTGAAGACAGAGACAAAGCTCCTCTCATGCTTATTCTGCTAAGCAGGGGTCATTTCATAGAAAAAGAGGTGCAGGAGCTCATTAGCATAACTCATTAGCCTATGCCACACCCCCTGACATCACCGGAAGTGTGTCAGAAGGCAACACCCACCGCTCAGGCTCCACTGGACTGTTCTGGATTGCTAGCTATGGGGGGGGGGAGGTGCAGATCTGTCCTCGCAGAGGAGGGAGAGCTTGTACCTGAATAAAACTTGGTCTTAAAGGTGCCACTGGACTGTTTTGGGCCAGGAGGTGCTCTGCAGCTTACCTGGCTGCTTCTTGCTCTGACTGAGGGCTGCTGGGAGCAGGGGGTGGGGCTTGTTGCATATGCCCACCCCCTGGGCTCTTTACTGCCGGAGCTCCGCTCCTGTGCGCTCCTGCAGGAAATGACGCCTGCTGCTAAGACAAAAATGGAAACCTCTCATCTTCCTGGAATGGGGACAGGGATAGTGGGGAGGTGACAGGGTCAGCTTCCCCATCTTTCAAAGGGCAGGAGCTTGTACAGCACCACTGCCTACAGTCAGCTAGCTTTCAGATTACCTCATAGAAATAGGCAGGAACAATAGTCAGGAGCAGTTTTCAGTAGGTTAGTATTTAGGTAGTTTTTGTTCTAAATATTGTGGTTTTAAGTACTGCTTGCATGATAAAATGGCAGTTACATAACAAATTGTTCCCTTAAACTCTATAGGCTACAGTATTTTTGCAAAGTGCTGAAGCATAGATCATTATTTTAAATCTCATTTTTAACAATTTAGGAATAGATCACTACATATATGCATGATAGCAGCTGTCAGTGGATAAAACATAATACTTTTTTATGTATACTTTTTTAGTTCTTTTTTAGTGTATGGAAGTATGAATAGGGCATATGGGGAAGAAGTGCCCTAGTGAAACTCTAATCTTATCCTCCCATTTAAGCATCTCTTTTTTGAGAAGCTTATAATTAATAATATAATAAATAAAATGTATCTTAATTTCCATTGCTCCGAAGTTGCTATAATGTTTCTTTCTCTAAAGCAAATAGCAGCTTCACAGGGAAAGGAATACTGGTAAAGAAACCAGCAAGGTGGGAAGGTTTAGGAGTTAAATGTTTGCCCCCTCATTACGACAGTGATGAACCTCAAAAATAATTTCAGGAGATCCTGATCACAGGTTTGGCTCTCAATTGGTATGCCATGTACAGTCCTTTGTGGAAGTGTTATGGCCAAAATGCTGCTCTCCTTGGCTGATACACTGACGCAGAAAAGAGTTCCTTCAAGGCAGAATGTTTGATAGTGACTACCTTACAAGGGTATCTTTAATATAGGACACCATTTGCAAGGGACAGTTCTGTTTCACAATCTACATTTTTGAGCTGAGATCAGTGTTCCCTCTAAGCTGAGTTAGTGTGAACTAGCTCACAAATTTTAGCCTCCAGCTCACACATTTTTGTCTTGGCTCAGGAAGGATGGCTCCAGAGCAAACTAATTTCTGTAGTAGCCAAATCGCTCACTCACAACTTTAATGCCAGTAGCTCACAAAGTAGAATTTTTGCTCACAAGACTCCACAGCTTAGAGAGAGCATTGGCTGCAATTTAGAGAAAGAAAGAGAAACATTAGTTCCAGTCTGGACCTAGAGAAACAATCCTTTGCACAGGCTCAGTGCCCAAATAGCTGTGTGAAACAGACTTCTATGAACTGCTGCGGTCTTCTGGATGCAAGTGTGCTTGCAACAGCACATTACATAGAGAAAAGAGCAGAACCTGTTCAGCACGAAGAGGGGGTTCCTGGCCTATACCCACAAGTAATGAATTAACTATACCTATATCATACAAATAAATAAACATAGCCTTATCGTATATATAGTTTCAGACTGTATATCTGATACTTAAAACAAAGGATACAAATGCACCAAATATAAACAGTGCATTGAAGATGTGATTCTGGAAAGTAAACAGTGCTAATCCCATGTAGCAAAAGATAACATTCTCAGCCAAGAAGTTCATGAACTCAAACATCTAAAATGAAAGAGAAGCAAGAATTATTGTCACTGGGGATTATCATTAGCAAGTGTCCTTCACATGTTCAACAAGAAATATCATTTGGCGAGAACAAACATTAGGCTAAAAGGTCGTTCCCAAATTCCCAATATGATCCATAAAATACTGAGCCAGAATACCTGGATTTAAGCAGTGATAATAATAAGAGTTGTAAGCAATGAGTTTACCTGGTGAGAAGAAATCTGAAATATTGGAGGCCTGATGACTAGGAGGATGAGAACGGCCACCAGTCAGCCTTGCTTAAGCTTGTTTGACTTAAGGCATCACATGAGTGTAATTCACTGATGTCTACAGGTGACAACTATAGATTTGTCATAATTAATGTTTGCTGAGAGGTTTCTCAGTACAGGTATCCATCTACACTTTCTAACTTGAGTACATATCGATTCATTGGCAAACAATTTACTGCCATAGGTAAGAATACATCAGTTCACTGGCAGATAATTTAGTATCACAGCTAAGAAAAGAAAAAAAATCACTCTGAGTTGAGAAGAAAAGGGGTGAGAATGTAATCCCCCTTTTTACTCACAGAGACACCATTAGTTAATAGGCCCTCAAAATGGTGTCAGCATGCCAACAAACTTGGTATCTGCAAGCTTTTTTGATTGTTTGGCCATCTAGGTATATACAAGCTTTTCCTGATGTCCATCTGTGTCAGTAGCATTGAACGCTTCTCTGAGTTCAACTAATACAGTATTCATATTCCTGACAGTCACATATTTACATATTAAATGCAAAAGAAGAGAACAATTGTCAATAGTGGCATACAAAGCCCTAAAGCCAACTTCCACAGATTGCATTTATCAGGTTCTTCGCATCAAATTTAAGGTTAGAATAAGTAACCTGTCATATCTGGAATATATATCTGCACTGTTGTTATTAGAATGGAGATAGAATATAGTGAATGGGAGGACTGTTAAAAATGGTTAGGAACAATAACCAAGAACCATGCAATATAGCCATCTTATCCTTATCCCCCCCCACCCAATTCATTTTAGATGTTATTCCCACATTTTTCAAGTATTGGCAATAATCTTATTGTTTCAAGAAACATTTTCTTCCCCTGTGAAACAAACCTATAAATCAATGGATTTTTCAGGGCTGCTCAAAAGTCAATAAGCTTAGTAGAGGTTTAAAAAGGAGAGGGGGAATCTTTCCCTGAGCCGCCAGGTTGGCAAAGTTGCAGGCCCCAACAACAACAAATAGACTTTATAAAACCTCAGTTATCTCCTAAACTTGTCTGTGTGTGCCAGAGCCAGTCTGAGGGACTTTCTCAGCTGAATAAGCCTGCGCTCAACCGGCTCCTCATTCTGTAAAGTCGGTCTATGAACATTCATAAATCACAGTATTAGAAGGGTTGCTATGGAGACATTTCTCTTTACATCTTCAATGGGGCTTATGTATTTTTATCGCTGAAGGATGACAAAGGAAAAAGCCAGAGCTGTGAAAAACGTTATTTCAAACAATGATTGAAGGAAATGAATAGTATGAATGCAAGCAACACCTTGTTGCAAGAGAAGTCTTGCCTGCAGAGGTGGATCCATCAAATATACAGAGCATATAAATTGTTCATGTGCTCCGCTGGATCACTGAACAAATATTTTCACCCCAAATAGTTAGACCAAGTTTAACAACAAGGAATTTCTTTTCTGCATTGTGAAATAGTTTTGACAGCACCAAGATGAGCTGGAGCTGGGACTACTCAGTTGCAATGTTACAGATAAAACTACAAAAAACATTTTCTATATGTTCTTTATATTTGTAAAAACCATTATAAAGCAATTATTAAAAATGGAAGAAGCAAGTATAACAAAGGAGAAAAGCGATCAAATGTGGTTTATGTAGTGTGATGGTGATGAAGACGAAGGGTTGTTGCTACAATACAAGAGAGGAGACGAGAAATGACTTAGGTCCCACTCAGTCCCTACTGGGGAGAAGGGCTGGGTATGAATGGGGTTGGCAGCTCTGGGTTGGGAAATTCCTGGATATTTTGGAATGAAGTCTGGAAAGGGAGGAGTTTGGGGAGGGGAGGGACCTCAGCATGGCATAATTCCATACAGTCCACCCTCCAAAGCAGCCATTTTATCCAGGGGAACTGCATTTGATCATCTGGAAACGAACTGTAATTCTGGGAGATCTCCAGGTACAACCTGGAGGTTGGCAATCCTAGGTATAAACTAAGTAAATAAAATAAGTAAATGATAAGGGTTTATTGCAAAATTGGATTTTGAGGAGGGATATGAAATAAGAGACAAGAGTGGCAACATTAAAAGTTCTCAGAATGAATTCCAGGTATAAGACACAACAAAGAAGGGGCAGAATTGTTAAAAGAGCAGGAGACTTTAGGCAAACTGGGGGATGGTAGATTTATTTAAATCATCAACCTTTATTGGCATATTGTATTGAACCTGACAGGCAAGGAATACAAAGTCATATGCAGTTAATAATACATTCCCTCCTCTTAGAAGCCCAAAACAGAAATTTGGCCACCATTTCCATAATCACTGAGAATCGAGTAGAGAGTAAATAAAATATCTTCCATTCATCAGAATGATTTACTAGATTTCTCAACATAGGCTCAAGATATGATGATTGAACATTATGACAGAAGAAATAGTGTAGAATGATATGATCCAGACTCTCAATTTCATTAACACCACAAGGACATAATCTATCCACATAAGGAGTCTTAGAGAACCTACCACCCAATACAGCTGAAGGCAGTACATTAAAACGGCCTAACATAAAAGCTCTTCGATAATGAGGAGTGGTTAAACAGAAAATATTCTGCAATAGACCCTTGGGGAGGAAATACTAAAAGGGGGAGCATTTACCTGAAGCCAGGCTAATCAGCTCTTGGTGTTCTATGTCGAGGAATCTTTGTTTAATCAAGTGAAAGTCTGAGCTTTCTGACAAATGAAGAAGCTCTCAGAAACTAACTCCTATATGCGTGATCTTACTCTCTATATGGGAAAACCATGCTGAGGTTGAGGACTCGGTAAGCATTTGTGAAATAAAAGGATTGGAATTAGCTCTAAAATGTAACCTGAGCCAAAATTTAAATGTCATAATCCAAACTTTTGTTTCCAAAAGACTCTGATTGGTCTCCAAACAGATGGCCGCATAGGACACGCATGGGGAAGGCATAATATTTTCCAAAGAAATTTAGATTGGACTTTTTCTATATCTTTATTAATAGCCAAAATCCAGATTGGAACCCCATACATCAGTTTAGCACTGATTTTATGATTGAAAACCCTCAAGGCCGTGGGCACATACTGATTGCCCTTAGTATAGTGAAAACGAGAAACTGCAAGCATGGTACTATTGACAGATTTGGTCATTTCTTTTTATGTACTGCCCATCTAAGGCTATGATGGAAATGTACTCCCAGATATTTAAATCTTGGAACCTGCTCAATCAGGTTACCTCTTCCCTTCCATTTATTAGGCTTCCACATCCTTACAAAGGCAATGATTTTAGATTTCCCAAAATTTAAAGTTAGTTTGTTAACATCACAGTCATCAAGAAAGCGGACTAAGAGTCTTTTCATTCCCACCTGAGTCAGGGAAAGAAGTACTGCATCACCTGCGTAGAGAAGCAATGGGAGATGGATCACCCCTAATTTGGGACTATGGCCATCAATGGTTTTCAAATAACAGTCTAGATCATTCACAAAAAGATAGTGGGGGCTAGGATGCAGCCTTGTTTTACTCCAACATTTATTGGTATAGGGCAGCCAGAAAAGGGACCCACCAACTCGGAAGCTCCTTAATCATTTCTGGGAGAATTGAGTCAGGACCAGATGCTTTCCCAGGCTTAATACCTTGAATGAGGGCCTCCACCTCCTCCACCTGCACCGGTGGCCACTCTGGGCAGCCAGTTAAACTAGAGTTAAGTTCCTCCTCCATACTAGTGTCAGTTGTCTGAAAAGCCTTAGCAAAATGGTCGAACCACTCATTAACTGAGATTGAACAATTAACAACACATTTCTCTCCCATGGAGCCTGAGATCAACGCCTAAAATTTCCTTGTGTATTCAGTGGCCTGAATAAGTGGCTCCCAGCATCTTTGGGTGAAGGCCATTTGCTTATCCTTATATAGCTGTGTTAATCGACATTTCAGATCAAAATATTCCTTTGGTAAACATGCTGTTTCCAATTTCCTATGTTTTTGGTAGAGGGCATGAACCTGTGTTTTCATCTCGAGACATTCCCAATCAAACCAGCTATTTACATTTACCTCCCTTCCTCGTTGCTGCTGGTTCGAAGTAGGCCTAATAGAGTCCGAAAGTTGAGCCATGATGCTTTCGTATGCCTATATCACCACTTGGGGCTCCTGTATGCATAATAGGAAGTCACCTAATAATTTGTCATTTAGGAACCCAGAAACCTTAGGTGCTACCTTACTTGTCCAATAAATTCTTTGTGTCTTTTCAACCTCAATGCCTGTATAAGATCTTTGACAACCCTTGTTTCTCAAGGTGGCAGAGAGTTTGATAGCAAGAACCAAATGGTCACTTTCTATGTGGTCCTCAATTGAGAAAAATCTCACTGATTCCCAAAGGCTTAATGAAATTAAAAAGTAATCTATAACACTGCAACCACATCGCAAGACATAGGTAAATTGCCCAAAAGAATCAAAGGGGGGAAATTCCGGGGATTCCATTAAAAATTGAAAGATTAAATCTGAGACATAATTGGGCAAGACAAATTCCTGCTTGGTTAATACGGGAATCCTTGGAAAATCTGTAACCAGACAGACAATCTGGGGCCCATCAAGGCCATCAAGGCCCATACTCCTGGCAAGTGCAGGCCCATCTGTTCCTATTCTGGCATTAAAGTCTCCTGCAACTAAAACAGCCACACCTGGATACTCTTGTTCTAAATCTTCTAGAGTTCTGAGAAGGACATCCCAGTTACCTTCCCACGCTTCATTGACTACATAGGGCGGGCATAT